CCACTTTTTCATTCGCCTCTCTTGAGCTTATTTTTTTACTTGGTTTCTTGTAAAATCTGAGAAGTACATTGTGCACGCAGGTATACTCTTCATTACAACAATTCCTGAACCTCTCGTTCTATCACATAGAGGACTATTAAAAGTTCAAAATACCTGTATGTTCAATGTATTTAGAAAAAAAAAAGGGGAAAAAAACATTTATTTGACTGCCACAAATGACACTACACAAAAAAAGAAACAACAGAAGAAAAACATAATCAAAACATTAAACCGTTAAGACACACATAATTAATTAGAAAACCAACGTCACAAACAAAACAAAAATAAAATTAAATTAGAACACAGATTATTTACATAAACAAAAACACGTACCTATATACAATTTGTGTGGTGCCAGCCGCAGTAACAAAGGTCAAGGGAACTCAGTATTTGCTGGAAAACGCAATGCGTTCCCAGCACTGATTTGCAGCTGGGACTCCCAAGTAAGGTGTTTCACGATTTAAAGCAACATGACTTTATTTCACACGTAATTCAGACATGCAGGTAATTGTATAGAATCCAAGAAGAAATAAATATTAAGCTTCATAGAGCTGTTATATGAGACCAAGTAATTAAAGAAACGTTGCTATTTTTAATAAATTAATAAAAATATAACCATTTTCTAGCGCTTTGCGTATCCTAGAAAATTCAGGTCTTCGCCGATTTGTGTAAACGCAGCGACTTACAGCCTTAACTATGTCGTTTGACCTGATTTTCAGCCAGAACCTATCTGGCAAGAGCTACGATGTCCATTTGTATAACAGAATATTTATGAAATAAAATTACCACAGAACATTAATTAAATATCACGCCTGTCCATAACATTTGCAGTGCCACTTAGAGCTTTAAATCGCAAAAATCTGAATGGCACCGCCACTGCACCCATCACTGTGAGACGTAAGTCCCACGTGCCTGTAATTTTATCAGCACCCTTACCTTTCAAAACCGGAACGCAATAATGTTCACATTACTGCTTGGCGGCAGAATTAAATAAAGTGGCAGTGGACGAACTCTTTCACAAGGAGCTTGCTACTAAAATCGCATACCACCAGGCCCATCACTCGTACGTCCCGACAATTAGTATCATAAAAGAAAAGTCAATGTGATTAAGCGTGAACTAAATTTTGTCCCAATAATGCGGGTGAAGCGGTAATGAGATGTTCATGGCAGTAGCAGTCGTCGTTTCATGGGATCCTCTATCTTTACCTACAGGTCTCTATTATTCTATGTCATTACACGACAACACAGAATATAGGGCTTGATATCGAATTTTTATTTTTACCTTATCATGCATCTCATACGACTCGATCCAACTCCTCGGGAGCGCTATTATTCAATATAATATTACAATTATTGTTATTCTTACGTCTTGTCTTTAGTACACTTCGATGAATCACATTCACAAAGAAATTACCACAGTCTCAGCAAACACGTCATTTTTGTCAGAACGTCCTTTGTTTTTTCTAATCGCTAGATAAGATATGAAAACAAGAGAATATCAGAAATTCTCAAGATGATCAACAATAGCACTTTTCTATAATGGTCTGTGGTCTATTGATACCGCACTAATTACCGCGGTTAATGCGCTGTCCGAGCGTATTGTTTATTTTATGTTTTGTTTACTTGCTTTTTTATTTTCGTGTTTGTAATAAATCAAACATGAATATGATATAACTTTGCACATCCCTAGTGATTAAAACTAGGGTTAGGTTTGCAAAGACGCCTGTTTTATTTTGCCAGAAAGTTATCGTCAATCCATGTACAGGGTCAAGAGCACGTCAACCTTGACACTTAAGATTTAAATCCAACTCTATGCCGCTTACGATAAGAACGGTCCAAGTACAAAGTGTCAAGCTTGACGTGCTCTTCATTGTACGTACTGCTTTAAAAAAAGCCACCACGTTATTCGCAAACCATTATAAAGCAAGTGATAATTAGAAATCTAAACACTAATTCGAAAATACTCGTATCTGTGGTGCCTTGGTGGAAAACATGAGTACATTTTCTTGACCTTCACGTTCCCAGTGGTAAAAGGGCCACCCCATATTGTGTTTTGCAAGTCCAAATTAAAGTGGAAATAAGTCTTAATTCCAAAATTCTTTTGAGTGATTTTTGTTTAATTTTACGATTCGGTTCTTATACCATTTGAAATCGAATACAAAACAATCCCAAGTGTCATACAAACTTTTCTCATGTTTTTTGTAAATAATTCAAAATCCCATTTCCTTCAACACTTCAATGGCACGAAAACTTCGGGATCAAGAATCGAAATTTCTCCAAGATTATTTCCCCTTACTATTGGGGTAACTGTCCCCGCCCTTCGAGGGATAACAGCTAAGGGCAGATAGGGAAAGGCATCGATTTTTGGCACCCTCGGAGGGCCATGGGAGCGCCGAACAAGATGGCGTAGCCCGGACCTGCCCCAATAAGTTGTACCACGCCAGGTCGCGTGCGACATGTGGTGTTTCTCTCAAAACTCAGCACCACCAAATATTGACTTCTGTCAGCGGTGGCCCCACTGAGCATCTCAAAACAAAAATGCAGCCAAAATATTCTGAATCAACCTGAATTTATAAAGCAAATTTTTTTTTTTCGTTTTGCGACGAGAAGCTAACACAAAAATACAAAATCCAATTAAGATTAAAATATAAACATTTTACGATAAATAAAAAATACTTGTTCCTTATAATAACATTGTGAATTGAAAACATAAGTACGAGTAGGTATGAAGATTTTCTAAGTTCCAAAATTCTTCAACAGTACAGATAACTTTATAGCTGTGTACAAAATCTCAATAAGTGGAAACGCAACTACTATCTCCTTCTAGCAAAAGCATTTGAAAATAACACTTATTTTCCATCTCTGTCGCTCAGCCGTGAATGCAGTTCTCGATGAGCATTGGCTCATCATTGGATGACGCTAGGGCTGACAGCCAGTAAACAAGCACAACAAATCATATATTTAATAGACATCATAGTGTATTTCATTACTTCACATACAACTTTATAAAGCCATTATTGATATTGCAGAGCTATTGAGATTTTTTTATAACGGCTTACATTTATTGTCTTTATTTTTGTAGGTAATGTAACTCAAATTAAGTTCGTTTAACACAGAAATATTTCTCACAAAAATAACTAGAAAAAAATATATTTTATCTATTAATAACCTAAATATAGAAATAGAGTCATGAACACCAGCCCTAATCATAGCGAACCTTATCTAAATTATGGAAAATTTTGGAATGCTATGCGTTTATCTTTCCTTTCGCACTTTCACTTGCCTACATACGTCGGTCTCGCTCTAGGGTTGCTACCTAAAGAATCACTGAGGGGTGGAAGGGGCACAAAAGATTTTGGGATAGATTTTTTTTGCAAACTGCACCACATGAAATGGATAGATGCAGTCAGTCCGGGTAATGCTCTCACGTAGCACGCACTTTTTATTTATATATTTGTTATAAACATTTTTTTTGTCTAGTGTTACTATTAGAAATAGTGATTGTTTTAGAGCCAGTCTCAGGGTGATCGTTTGTTATGCTATGCTCAGTTTTGTTACAAAACGTAAGTTTTTAGCACAATAAATTATATTAATTGTTGCTAGGTAATTGTTACTTGTATATTTTTAGGCATTTTGTGTGCTTTGTCTTGATAGTTGTTTTTCTACTCCATGGTACTAATTTATTGATTGCTTATTTGTATTTTGATGTAAATTTTACCTAGTAATAAATTAAAACCAAGTAAATTATATGTATTATAAAAAATAAAAATAAAATGAAGTTAACTGCTCAAGTAATTTTAGATAAAATTGTGCTGAATGGTACAATATTCAGATATTGTAGCGTGAAATGTGTTAAAAACACTGACATTTTAATAGAGAAATTATTATTAGAATATTTTGCGCGTATTTGAGTTCTTAATTAGTTCCCATACGTTATTTATCTAACAAAATACCTTACGCTTCTAATATGTTGAGCAAATAAACTTCGTTTAATTTCTCCCGATTATTTACGTCTGTTCAATTTAAAATTTCCTCAGTTCTTGTTGCTAACCTAAAGTTTATTGCCTATTGTAATTCCTAAAATTCTAACTGTAATGTAGTTGAATTGTCTTTCACATGAACACTTTATAAAGTACATAGTAAATTCATGGTTACCATCATCATCGAGTTCGGAAAGCAGGAAATGTTTTTTATACGAAGCGACCGTTCATGTAGTTCTCGAAATAAATATTGAATCTTCGGTGCATAGCTCTCGGCTTGTTTCGGTTCCGCTGCACAAAAAACGCCACTGGAGCGAAAGAAAAAAGAAATGATGTGTTTCATAGCTTACAGTAATATTGTATAAATAACATAGCTTCGATGGGCGATATACGTGTCGTGATGCTCTGTGACTTACGTTTGAACTACAAATCTACTTAATACTTTCTACGTAATACATACACACCTAACTTAATTACTTAATCCGGCTAACCATAAGGGTAATGAACCACATAAATGGCCATGTACTTTTCAAGACAAACGTCCTATATATTTCATTGCAATATAATATACATATCAGAGGGCTTGCTGGAAATTGTTTCATAATTATTTTTTTAAAACCATTCATTTATGACTAGTAATTATTTTATTGTTAAATGTAGAAAATCTGTTTTTAAGCTGTAATATAAAGAAATTTGCCTAAAAAGATGCCTAAAATACAGGTACACATTTACTTAGTTTAGGCATCGCAATTACACATTAGGTTCTAATATTAAAATGTATGTAGCTTTAAAGAAGATTGTATCATTTAGGTTCCCTTCTTAATGCTTATTTTAATACTATAATAGCTTTATTTATATTTGTTTTCCTTGTATTGTATTAGATTAAGTTATATTGAAATAAATTTATCTTTTCTTATAAATTTACCTCATGTTATATCTATACTTTACATAAATTTTAATAAAATATTCTCTTTGTTATAGGTTTAATGACGTCAAGCGGGGGCGGGAAATGACGTCGTTCGCGAACCTGCCGCAGTCGCTCGCGTCTAGCTTGCCGTCGGCGTCGACGTCGTCGCCGGCGTCCGGCGCCCCAACAGGCCACTCGCCGCCTGATCAGGACGACCCACTAGCGATGACGCACATCATCTGCAACTTACTCGAGAACATGAATAAGCCCGGCCCCTCAACTTCCACCTCATCGTCTGTACCTTACGACATTTGGGCGCTGCCCTCCAGCAGTACCATGCAGAACCCTGTGGGCTCAGGTCGCGAATATGCCGGTTCTACGAACAACAACAGTTCGATGCATCATAAGGAGGACAACTCTAGTGGCTCACCGGGAACCTCATCTTCAGTTTCTATCACCTGTTTCCGCTGCGAGGAACGGACTCCCACCACACGCTGTCTCGAGTGCAACGATCTCTTTTGTCACGAGTGCTGCCATAAGATGACTTCTGACTGCCAGCTTCGAGAGCACACGTTGCTGCCAATACATCAAATATCACCCATCGGCATGCGCCCCAATTCTGTGAGCAACGATAAGGACCTCGTGTACTGCGAATTGCACGGAGATCCCGTAAGGTTCTACTGCGAGGCTTGTATTGTGTTCATTTGCCAGGAATGTACGCTCTGGGTTCACAAGGATCACTGCTATACGCCCATCAAGGGTGCCCTTGACATGTGCCGTGTCGGCGTCCTGAGGGCTATAGAAGACACAAAAACTGGTACGAAAGCGATAAAAACCGCTATCGACCGGGCTGTCGCTATGTCTAAATCCTATGAGAAGGAGACAGCTGAAGCGAATATGAAAATAAGAAAAGCGATGCGTTGCTATGCTCAAGCAATCGAGGATCGTGAGAAGTATTTATTAGAAAAGGTCGAAAAAATGCGTCAAGCAAAAGTGAACGAGTTGACTGATCACATGAATACTCTACGAGGAATCCTCGCTGGCTTGGCGCACACCAATGAAACTTTAGTGCGAAGTATGGATTCGGAAGGAATAGACCTGTTTATGGCTAAAGAGAAAGGAAGAGCTCAAGTGGATTATTTCTCATGTATGTTCAAGAATATGTACGTAACTGAGGAGAGGATCATGTTTGTGCCGCCAAATTACGATCTGGTGGATCAGTTGAAGAGACAATGCGACGTACAGCCGGTACCTGCTAGCTCCATCACTTCGATCAACACGGCTTCGATTTCGTCTCGTCAATCGTTGATGTCACTGCAGTCCCTGCAGTCTGGTCAGAGCTACTCACCATCGCCACTATCGTATAACATATCGGTTCCCAATAACCTTCGATCAATGCCTGATTATGGAGCCCAATCTAGACCTCCGAATTACTACGACCACGGCATTCCAGCTTTGCCTCCTATTCCTGCTATTCCTGCTCTAGAATCTAATCCTGCTCGCGGCATTGGTCAAGCGATACCAGGTTATTGGTTGTCAGTAACTGTGAAGCCCTCAAGAAGTCCAATACCTGGCGTACCAATGTTCTCCTTTGGCAGAGAGGGCCAGGACGATGGCCAAGTCTCCAGACCGTGGGGTTTGTGCGTTGACCGAGAAGGTAATATTATAGTTGCAGATAGAAGAAACAATCGCATTCAAATATTTAACAGTAGAGGAGAATTCAAGTCAATGTTTGGTAGTAAGGGTACCGGATCTGGAGAATTCGATCTTCCTGCGGGAATAACTACGGATATCTATGGTCGTATTATAGTCATCGACAAGGATAACCACAGGGTCCAGATATTTACATCATCTGGAAATTTTATCCTCAAGTTTGGGTCCTTCGGAAAAGAATGTGGACAGTTCCAGTATCCGTGGGATGTAGCGGTAAATACCCTCGGCAACATCGTTGTAACCGACACCCGCAATCATCGCATACAATTGTTCACAAGCGACGGGACTTACATCACAAAGTACGTTTTTGAGGGCGCCAACCCAGCAAAGATGCTTAAAGGACCGACTACACCTAGAGGAGTTTGTTTCACGACATCTGGCAATATCATCGTGTCAGATTTCGAGAACCACCGCCTGCTGATGGTGGATCCGACTCTGTCCAAAGTGTTGCAATGTGTAGGTCGCGAAGGTTCCGGCATTGGAGAACTGAACCGTCCCTCGGGTATTGTGACTGACGACGACGGACGAATCATAATCGCGGACTCAAAAAACCATCGCGTATTAGTGTTCACGTCAGAGTTGCGTATCCTATGGGCCGTAGACTTAAAGAGTCCAGGGCTGGACGACAAAGACCGGCCGAGCGACGTCGCGCTTACACCCGAGGGCTACCTCGTGGTGCTATTCGAGACGTTGCCCGATACCGCCCGCGACATCTCCTCCCACGGCAAGCAGTATATCAAGGTATATTGATTATCTACTATTTTAATGTATTAAGGCGTACCGACCGCGTGGGCCTAAGGTCCGTCGTATTTTAGTTTATTTCATTTAAGTTGTGATTTCTTTGATAATGTGCCAATTTTATTATTAACGTTTGCGAATATTTGAATCGAGCATAGCTTGTGCGGAGAGTTGGAGTTTGCTCATGTGCGCAAATGAAATTCTCCTTAAATTCTTTTGATGAGTTTTTCGTTACCATAGTGTTTTGATTTTATTTCCTTATTCGACTAGTCTTTAAGGACCAAACTTTATTTTCAGTTTTAACTTACAGTGTAACTTATCGAACTCTCAGTTTGGTAGCGTACAATATAGCAACCGGTAACGTATAGTAGAATAGCTCTAAATCCATAGTCAGCAGTAATTGTAATGTCGATTATAAATCTGTCCAGTCCGATACTCTTACAATTTATATACCGCTAGTGAAAAATACGAATCGTGAAGATTAATAGTATAATGGATCACATTGTGATGTAAAAGATGTTTTTATGTGAGATAATTTAAAATGACTTCAAAAGTATTTTTCCAAAATGTTACTTTTTGCGTTTTTAACTTGGTTAGTCGAACGACGCAGACGTTGAGACGTATTCTTATGATAAGTTATTTTGCTTATTGGTTTTAGGTATATTTTTATGCGATGTTGGCGTTCGGCCCGTGTTGATCACTGGATAGTTTAGGTAGTTTTAATCGCTCGGCTATTTTTTATTCTCTGTTCCGTTTACGCTTCGTAAGGAGGAGAAGCATATTGAAATTGAGCAAAGAAATCAATGCAATAAAACTTTAAGACTGACTTTAGAAGACTGTCTTAAAGACACGTTGGCGTGGGCCCGGCCCTCGGCCGTTCGCCGGGTAACACACGTACGGCTGATGCTATAGGAGCTTCATTACCAAATTAGGCGTAATATTGGCTAACAGTCATCGCTGGACCCCGTAGCGCAAGTTTCAATGTGAAACGTTAGTTTTAATTTCGTGACTGATTAAAGGGTGTTTTTAGTTAAAATTCGTATTCTATTGAAATTATTTCGACTGCCTGGCTACTTGATCTAGTTATGTTTATTTTAATGCAATATGAACTGAATAATATTCTCAAACGTAGTTGTGTAGGGTGTAAGCGCGGAGATGTTAACTTTATTATAATTTTCTAACTTGTAGTACACTCAAATATCTATAGGTAATGCGTACCCAAGTTAGGTACCTATGTTAAGACAGTAACCCATAATAACGTTGTGAGGATGTCTTTTCAACTAGCTAAATGAATAGATGTTCTATATTATACCTGTGGATAGTGTTTATTAGGTAATATCGTGTGGCTCGTATAAAATCGAAATTGTATTGTATTAGTTCAAATATTGTAGCGAAATTTCCCTCTGAAACTTTACAAATTGGTTGCATAATCTATTATTAATGTATTTTTAGACGTAGTGCCGTCGTATTCGGCATGAAGAATGTGTTCAGTCAATATGTGTTCACTTTACTATATATTTAATGTAAGTTAAGTTGCGTGCTTGGGAGGAGGTGTTTCGGAGATTGAGCAGTTTTAGTAGAATATTATGATAGTGCGTGTTATGTATGTTCGTTGTGGTTTGGCTTCGTGTACACGACTTTTGTAGCAAGTTCGCATCTACGTATAGAGTTAAGTGCAGTGCACCTATCCGCTATTTTCTTTAGCGGGAAAGTCCCTGCGTTACCTTAGGCAGTAGCATGTTTAGTGACCTATAAAACTACTTTTGAGTAACTTGTAAGATGTTATAAACAAAGCTGCTATGACAGATGTACTACGTGCGTACTTACCTTGTAATATTTATACATATTTAAGTCTTGTAAATATGTATATTTCTAGTAAATTTATCGTGAACACATGTTTAACCCCGCGTGTCTATCTTGTCGTAGTTTAGCGCATAATTTCAAAATAACCACATTTATATGATATACTAATTATCCTCTTGTGTATATTCGGATCGCTTCACAGTACCTACTACGTATTAATTATATAAATAAATAGATAGATATATATTTTTATACGTCACTAAGAAATGCTTGTATCTGCTTTGTGTAGGTGTGGTACTGTTATGTCGTAGTTATATAATTCAGAGTAAGATGCTTCTAAATACATTAAACACGAGTCTTATAGAGTATAATATACGATACGGCGAAGTTAGCGACGTTTTAGTTAAGGTCGCTAAGGTAATGCAATAGGTAGGTTAACATTTTCACCTTTGTACTTAGGCTTAGATTACCGTAAGGTTGACAAAAATTATTCATAAAGTGGTATCCTATGTGTAAACACGACCACTTCA